CTCGTTTATTTTACTTGGGAACGAAAAAATGTTAGGAGCGCCTGCCGTTACGTAGTAAAAAAAGAAGTGTGTGTGTTAATTACAAGGTAGAGGACTGAATATAGCGTTAAATTTTCTTGGGACATTTGTACAAGAAAATGCGAAGATGTGACAACACTATACCACGTCTGTTTAATTAGTTCAAAAATTAAGTTGACATCAATTTGTGAGTCGTTTTACGAGCTCAATTTTGGAAGTCGTACCACGAGCTCAAATTGGACATTTTATTTTATCAAAATAGTTCCTAATTTTTCGCAGATCGTGGAAGCAGAAGAAGAATTCATCTTGAACTCAATTTAACCAAACCTCCCTTCAAAAAGAAGTAAGCAGTCCTTTGCTAGTAAATATATTAATACACTTGAGAAGAGATGCTAAAAGAAACAAGCCAACATATACATCAAACTTTTCATATACATTAAACTTTGAGCAAGATGCAACAGGTGGTTCGGTGGCTCGTTTTGAATAATCCAGAAAACTTCCTCTTGCCAACAATCTTGGCTGAATTGGCTCGCGGTAGGTTATTATTCCAATACATTATTTTTTATGATCGGCTTGCCGCTTCGCTTCAAAAACCTGCCATATATATTTGCATAATCGAAATATCCAGCAGCGTTGCCAACCGGTATATTTCTATACCAGATTTCACAAATCAGGTATTTTCTGATGGTGTCTGGTATGAATATTTTAAATCTGGTATTTGTGCCTAAATCTGGTATTTTCTGGTCTTTTTTGACTTACTGCAAATTTACTGCACTAAGTTCCACCTCTGAAATTTGAACTTCCCCCCAGCGTAGGCATGGATTATATCGATTACCTTCAGAGCGGCGCGACTAGAGTTTTCCCACCATTTTTGAATCCGCGAGATTATCGCTTGATAAAATAACCCCAATCTATTTGTTAAGATTCAACAAAAGTGCTTACTGCAGTATAAGCACGAGAGTAATAACTCTTGATTGATTACTGATCAGTGATGATATGGCCTATGGTGAGTAAGGTTGTCGAAACGATCTCTGCGACGCAAGCTCCACCGTTTCTGTTTGGTGGTTTTGAATTCTAGAGTGTCACTTATTAGTGTCACTTGAATTCTGGGGTGCTATTCAATATTTCACTGATCTTGAATATCATCATCCATTCATAGAACTGGCTGACTGCTGCATCACTTGTCTACTTTTACCAGTCTCCAATGCATTCGTGGAGCGAGTGTTTTCACAAGTTACCTACGTGAAAAAATATGCAACAAAACAGAATTTCAACCAAGGTACTGGAGTCCGTTCTTCGGCCCAAAAGTTACGTATTTGCTCAGCCGCAACAAGTAATGACCCCCGAAATGTAAGATAAATGCAATATGCAAGCATGTTCAAAAATAAGCAAGAGGAAGATGACCTGTTTCCGTGTCTTGCTCATCTTGAGTGAATGGGAAGAAGTGCCACACAGTGATAAAAAGGGGAACAAGTGTCAATGTAATCTAACACAGGAAAAGAAAAGTGTCAAAATATTTCGAACAGGGGGAAAATATAACGTGTTCAATTTGGTTAATTATTCGTCAAACCAGATATATGAACAGTAAAAAAGATAAAATATTACTTTTCTTTTTCTAACTAACGTTTCTGCCGACTAGTTTCATCAAATTTGGAGGTATTAGTAAGTTTTTAACAATAAAATTTGTGATATATTTCTGGTATTTTGAGCTAGGCAATTTGGTATTCTTGCCGAGGAAAGAGTCGGCAACACTGGTATCCAGTGTTCCTTGTGCCTCGCAAATCGCAATATTTCATAATGATGATGATGGTATTGACGGTGCAGTGCCACTATAGGGAAGAGTGGAAACGCATATGCATGAGGTGTTGAGTGAGCTGAAAGGGGAAAGAGAGAATTGGAATGCAGGTACCAGTGAAAAGTGTTACTTCACAGGCCACACCGGGACAAGTGTGTTCTTATGATGATATTTTAAACAATCTTTCATATTGACGAAACGTTGGAAAAATTTTGTAGGCGCATGCAAACGGTTATTAAGGTTAAAGTAAGATGTGATTTCTCAATTAGATGTCATTTCCATCTTTGTCTCTGATCGTGTATATGAATTTTGCTCACATTCTCCCGGAACTGGAATTATCTTTTCAGAATATTTTACCTATAACTGAACTAATTTTACATAGATTACTCAATTTCTCTCAGACAATATTTTGTACATATAAAAGCGTTTAGCGCCTCCATCTTTTAGAAGTAGATTTTTCTCGTACAAACAACAAAGCAAATTTTCTTAGCTAATTAATTGAACTGTTAACTGCATATATGTAAATTAAGTCACTAATTAAAGTCAAGCCATGATTTCACAGTAATAGACAACTTCTGAAATTTAGTTTTAAGAAATCAATCTCAATGAATATAAAATTCTCAAAAATGCATGAAAATACACCAGGCAGTTGAAACTGACGGCAGTGTGGTCACCGACGTCCTATTTGATTGTAGTGGAAGTGGTAGAATAAACTTGGAAAAACTGTACCTGCTGAGCAGATAATACGGTTTAGATCGTAAATATATCCGAAGATATATGCAGATATGCAGTATATCATATATGGTAGACAATTTATTTTAATGGAAAAATACCCCTTAAATTTAATTCTTGACGGTAGTAATTCCATTCAGATCAACTGGTACTGCTTATTCACGTGTACCGCAGAAATATTCAGAAATTTGTAAGAAGAATAGATATAAATTGAACTTCGCCCACAGACTTTTATCTTCATTTGATGTTGATTCTAGTACATTTTCATTTCCAAACCGTCCTAGCTTGGACAGTTTCAGGGTTATACCTATCAGCCATTGCCTTCAATAGTAAAAATGTCATTAATTTTCATACATAGTAAAGTTAGGGACAGGTTTGCCTGAAAGTTCCGACATACATTTTTGGCAACACCATCGCTGGACAAATGTTGTCGTATGTTCATATTTTTATATAAAATTAGAAAAATTCAAATCAGTGAGACATTGTTGCGGCCAAGGTTAAACTGCAATTTTGAATGGGAAAGAATTTACTTGCTCGAATTTTTGCCTCATGTATTTCTTCTTAAAAGTTCAATGTGTGTTTGAAGCGAATCAGGAAAATGTATGTTATTATTTGTATATAGTACACCGGGAGCATATGCATTCATATTTGATAGTGTTAGTAATAATTATTTTTCTAATTAGCATTCCTATGCATACAATGCATGGTGCGCTTGCTTGCTTTCAAGTAATACCTTCGTTCAGGTCGATCAAGGAAACAACCGTAAACATGTATATAGCTTTATATTCCCTTTTGATAACGCATGTTATCTGATTAGACCTTGCCATTATCTCTGATAATGACCATCTTCAGTAAAGAACAGCCAGTCTCTTTCCTTCCATAAAACACACACGCAGTGCACCGGCATTGCATGGTCTTACGTTGAGCTAAGAAAAGGTGATTTTACTTTTCACTTTAGTGAAATCGATCGAAAATAATGTTAGTTAATGTGAGCCAAAATGATAGCTTGTCTTGCTATTATATAATAAGGACATTATATGCAAATAGTGCGTTAAGACCAAATAATACCTAAGCAGTACAACCTCTACTTTAAAATTTCCTGCCGGCTCAACAGTTTACCTTCGGCAGATTTCGTGTTGCCAGTGTCAAGTATCAAGTGTTTAGGTCAAGTGTTAGCTAGGTAAATAGTTGAAAGTAATGAATTTGCCAATACAGGATCACCAATTTAGTGAGTAATCAAATTATTATAATTGCAGGCTTCAGTGTCCACTTCTTGCACAAAAGTCTATGGAAGAAATCTTGTTAGAAAAAATATGAAATTGACGTTGGGAATCTATGACATTGTCGAGGTAACTACAAGTTTAATTTAAACGTATAACTCAAACAATTGAGCGTTAAATGAACAAATGATGTTCTCCAAGGAATCGTTTTAAATTTTCAAGATTTTTGGAAATGTCGTGGTGGTAAAATTGTCCAGCATGCCTTGAAATTATTTTGGAAAAGATTGCATTTCTGAGCAGTAACTTCCATTATTAATTTGATAGCTAATATAATAGGAAGACAATTCACCGTACAGTTAATAAGTATTCTCTGCAAGCAAGTTAAATTATAAATTTCAAACGATCACTATTAGAGGAGTAAACAATCCGGATGACGATACTGGTACACAAGTTAATATAAAAAATTAATAAAAATAAAAAAATAGACCATTTGCGTTATACAAACTATACGAAGATTCTAAATGTGACGTCGGAAGCACCCAATACGAAATTTAACTTTGAAATTTCTATGTGTCACCTGAATGTAACAATATTCTTGGCGAGAGCATGAGTTGGATGCGAAAGTAGTCTGGAGGCTGTAACTTCATTCGTGATGCTCGGCTTCTCTAATAAAATAGCCAATCTAATTAAGCAGATGAACCACTCTATTGCAGAAGCAAAAGAAGATCGACTTATTCTGAAGCGCACAACCCAGAACTGAATTTAAAAGTTTGAAACCATCGCATATAAATAAGAAGTCGTCTGGTTCACCTTTCTACCAGTTTTCAAAACCGAAGTTAAAATCATTGCCAAACATCGATCTTATGTGAATGATGAAATTTCGAAAATATTTCATGAATAAAACTTTCAGATCTTTGAACATTCTTGAACAGGAGCTGGAAGTTGAGGGTTTGAAACCAGCAACTATGTTGGAGAAAATTCTGATCGAACTCACAATTGCAAGCGATGCTGAATGGTTGAGATTCGACGACCCAACAAAATTGATGTGTCACCTGAATGTAACAATATTCTTGGCGAGAGCATGAGTTGGATGCGAAAGTAGTCTGGAGGCTGTAACTTCATTCGTGATGCTCGGCTTCTCTAATAAAATAGCCAATCTAATTAAGCAGATGAACTACTCTATTGCAGAAGGAAAAGAAGATCGACTTATTCTGAAGCGCACAACCCAGAACTGAATTTAAAAGTTTTAAACCATCGCATATAAATAAGAAGTCGTCTGGTTCACCTTTCTACCAGTTTTCAAAACCGAAGTTAAAATCATTGGCAAACATCGATCTTATGTGAATGATGAAATTTCGAAAATATTTCATGAATAAAACTTTCAGATCTTTGAACATTCTTGAACAGGAGCTGGAAGTTGAGGGTTTGAAACCAGCAACTATGTTGGAGAAAATTCTGATCGAACTCACCATTGCAAGCGATGCTGAATGGTTGAGATTCGACGACCCAACAAAATTGATGAATCAAAGTTGACATTGCATTATTATTATACCTCATTTTTTGACAACCAAGCAAGTCTGAAACTCTGTTAATCGCAAGGAGTGAAATCGGCCTGAACTGAAATAATAAATCGAAATCAGATTAAGAATTTTTTTGCGAGGTTGTCCAAATTACCGAAACGTGGACAGGCGCCTTAATTAATGGTAGGGGTATAAGGATAAGTTTCATGTAAGCAGGCGAGGTAATCTTCACGTTTTGCTAGAATTTGTAAAATTTGAGTTAAATTGCTATGTAACTTTGAATATTGGATTTCACATCTGAATAATCCATAAAATATATATCTGCCTGTAATCATGCTAGGTTGATTTTTGGTCGATGTTGCTTCAACGAAATTTGATCTGTAATTTTAATTCCCAAAATCGGTAATACTGATATATTCTCTTGATTTTGTAAACTGAAGATAGAGGTGGCCGACGGAATTTCATAAGTGATAATATTATTATTATTATTTTTTTCATATCAACCCCCTAGTCAATTTACGATCTTACTCTCATTGCCACTAGCCTTCAAGTGAATAAGATAAATTGATCCCAGCGTAACTGTAGCATCATGTGTTCGATTTCTTGATAAAACTTCAATGAAATTATAATTAGGAATTAATTTCGATTACAAATGATAGTTCATGCACACAAAGGAAATATTAACCGAGAACGGCGAATATTTGATCACCGTTTGTATTCACAAAGCAAATACAGAACTGCGTCACGAGAGATCGTTCGAACTGCTCAGCAAAATAGCAACGCCATTTGATTGTTTCCCGTAAAAAAATAGCCTGTCAGCTATTTTTTTACTGAAGGAGAGGCATTTTACTCGTAGATTCGAATAGCACCTCTAGTTCCACGGTAAATAATTGGCTTAGTACAGATGCCGGTTAGTAAGGTACAGTTGGTTGCGCTGCTGCTGCTAGTGAGCGGCAGCATGTCCAGTCATGGCAGCAAGATCCTCGTCATCGCGCCGCTTTCAGGCAAAAGCCACTGGCAATTTTTTGGCGAGATCATCAAGACCCTCGCCGACCATGGACATCAAGTGAGTCTTATTAAATATAATTAGGAGTATTACCAGTGCAATAAGTAATAAGTATTACCAGAGCAAACATGACGTTGACACTTGACAGTGCATTGTACTAAGCTAACTCCCAAAAGAAAAGCATACCGGAAACTTATTTGGCTTCACGATCACAAATTTCATAAACATAATAGTGCATTCTATCTTAAAATAATAAACTGATCTGCCTACTTTGTGCCATTCCACTCAGGGGGTGGTTACAATCGTGTTTCCATAAATATTGCTTTTTATTGATTTAATTGTACCCTCCCTAACTCCCTCAGAAAACATTTTTGACGTGCAATTATTTCACATTCAGTCGGATCTCAGGCCGTGGCCGTGAGCAAGAAGTTCCCACCAATTTATCAAATAACTCTTCATTGGCATACATAACTTTCACTTGTGAAACGTCCCAAGCTCGTCTCTGAATGTTAAACTGCTATTTAGGTTTCAATAACTAACCCTTTTATATAGGGTTAGTTATTGAAAACTGGAATGAAAATACCCGTTGCTGCATATCCCACCTAGATAATGCATTGCCATGATGTCGCGATTGTCAATTCAGAACAGGAGAGATTTCTGGTAATCGTGCTATCCTGAATTTACTGGAAACGAGGTTCGTAAGGTTCTTGTGAAAATTCTGTTTCATTCAGTAAAGCGGAAGCTAAGCGCAAACTAAGTAAACAAAAGATTTAGTCTGCGAAAGAAGAGTTTATTTCACGACTCCTGGAGGTGCAGGATGTCATCATTCTTGTATCCCCTAAACCTAGAGACTAACTTGTGCTCATCAACTATCACCAACCCTAATAAATTACTTAACTCACGTATCACGAATAACCTAACCTATTGACACCTTTTTCATGCTCAATACAAACAAATTATCATGACAATGACAAATGAAGTTTTTTAGCTTACCAATATCTGCCGTTCTCGTCTCCCAAACAACAAAGATAAAGATCAACTGGCGAGTATCCGAAGCTCATAAATAGATTGCTCAGGACACGAACGCGTGGGACAGAGTGAGCTGGAACGCGTCTATCTTAACACCATTATTTCGCATCCGATATCGTCTGAAATAGAATTCACAAACTTGCACCGATGAAGTCAATTTCCATTTTTTCTAAAAAGTATTAATATGCACTAAAACTGTGAATTTTTCAGATAACGTCGCTGACATCGATGCCGATGATCAGGCACAACAACGTCACCGAAATAGACATCGAGTTTGACATGAGCCCTCTCATCCCGAACACATTCGAGAATCGCGGTTGGTGGGTGGGCATTAGCATGATGAATAAGATGCCCGGAATGTGTGCAGAAGCGTTGTCGATTAAGAAAGTGCACGATATTAAAATCGAAGAATACGACCTGGTATTCATCGGCAGCTTTGTCAATGACTGCTTCTTTGGGCTTTTGGATGGCATTGAGGTAAGCGTGGGTTAAGTTATGTCTATAGCATTGGTGAAATTTTCAGATCAGAGATAATTATTTTGCCCCATTTTATATTTGTTATTCTCAGATTCGGACTGAATATTTATAATTGGAAAGACACACAGTATTGGTGATATTCTTCTTATTCCAGTCTATGAACATGAAATTTAATAAAATCTATGAAAATTGGTGAATAAACAACTGCCAACAATGAATGGTCTTGATTATAGTTGTCATCTAGTATAGCCATCGACTTTGGGCTTTGATATAAGTCTAGATCATGCTTGTATTGAGATTCCGAGGAATTTAAAACAGGAATTGAGGAATTTGAAACAGAATATTGAGGAATTTAAAACAGCCACCCGTCAAGATAAGACAGCCTCCCCTCAAGATAAAATGAATGAAGTGATTGTATTTCTTTTCAGTTCGTGCAGCATGATATTCCACAGTAGGCTGCAATTTCAACAGCCAGTATTTTCTTTGTTGATGACTTTGATTTTGGTCCAGCTGAGATGACTAGACGTGAAGGCTGATAGAGCACATAAAGCGATGACGGCACTTACCATACCAAGGAATTCCGCTTACACTTCAGCTTGACTCGAGCTGAGACTATTTTGCCATTTAAACTAAATCAAATAAATAAATATCATGATGCAATGTGGCTAGAATATCAGTGATGCCGGATGCGCGACCTGTGCTAGAACTAACAATGAAAATTAGTGTATTTGTGAAAAAGATTGTTATATTTGTGGTTTGTACATATATTTTTCAGGTCCATTGGCAGGTGGGGGTTTATCCCACCACGAGGTAATTACAACTTTCCTCTGTTGAATTTTTTAACTAGTAGTTAGTGTGAGGAATTCATACTTAATTCATTCACATTCAGTTTTTTGAGTTTTGTCAATTCGCAGGTTCCAGTGATAATCATGAACCCGAACGCACTCTTCACATACTTCCATGACATCGTGGGAAATGTAGATTTTCCTTCTTTCGTACCCGTGATAGGACTGCCCATGAAGTATCCTATGACGTTCACACAACGCATCCTTAATACCCTTGCCAATCTCTTCAGCTGCGCCCTCATCAATTTCTATTACCATCCAAGGTGGGTGCCGACAGCTCATTCGCTATACGAAAAAGATGATTTTTTATTTAACAAAGTTTTATTTTTTTCAGCCAATTCAATTTTTAAAGTAGTTCCGCTGGGCAGCTGCAAACTGATGACGACATGATTTTCGCTTTTATGGACTTAAGGTTCTCTACCGTATGTACGTTAAGCTCCTAGTGGTAGTTTCTGGAGAGCCGAAATGAAGTAAATTGAGGCAATTTTTACGTTATAAAATAAAAACTTATTTGGGGCTAAAGCAAGGTCAATCGCTGGTCGCGATGACTGCGGGGAACTAGTGCATTTTGAAGTCAGGAATTTTGTGAGAAGCAGTCAGTATTACATAAGGGACGTAGTAATTCAGTTGTCTGCAATGCCATTTTCTGCGCTCTCGTCTTAAAAGATCGAAATATTTGTGGAAGATTTCCTTTGAAACAACAAGAGTAACAAACGAGCACTAATTTCATTCTTGATATTATATTTTTCAAAGTTGATAGTATGCCTGAACGGTGTCAGTAATCTTCATGCTAAAGCTCTTTGTAAAAATTACAAGTACCCGCAATGATAAATTGAAGCAAAAAAAAAACATAAGAAATCTCATTAAGATGGTGTTGTTTCCTAATCAGTGTTGAAAAAGCATGCAAAGATGCTGGTCTGTGCCCGCGCGACATGCGATCTATTCATGACATCGCTGCAAAATCTGCATTCATTTTCATCAACAAGTAAGTGTCAATGACGGCAATCAGTGCAGACTTGAAATTTAGTTATGATTCTCAAATTATATTTTTTTCCATACTAGATGTAGATTAGAGAATGATACGATAATTTTCGTATTCAACTCTCACTTTTGTGGTACACTCCCGAAGAGATTCGTGCATGTAGAGTTCACAACCTACATTGCTTGCTTTCCCATTACATGGGTTTTTAAAACTTCCTACCTATGTTAAACACGAATTTAAGCGTTCTGTGCCAGTTAAAAATTTAAAGGTTGGAGGAACTTCTTCTTTCAACAATCCCTCGTGTTCTTTCAACAATCCCAGCGTGCAGGCCCTGGAGACGCCAGTGCGGCCCTACGTGCCGGCCGTGATCCACGCGGGGGGCCTCAACTGCCGGCCCGCCCAGCCGCTGCCGGAGGTGAGCCGCAACATGCGGGACGTGGGTTTATCAGGGCATGGCGCACACCAAGCAGATACCAATTAGGTATCAAAGATAGAGCAATATTAGAAAATCTACAATTTTCCGGAAAATCCCCCAAATAATTGATGAAATCACAAAACATTCTATATCGAGTATAAATATCAATAATTAGGCATCAAGAAATATCAATTTATTAATAATTTTGTTGAAACTTGTGCCACAAATATTGTGTGAAAATGTTGTGAAAATAATGTGAAAGATGCCAGAGTGTAAAGGGATTTTTGTCTTCAATTTTTTATACCTTTGAGATAATTAAATTGAAAATAAAAGCATTTGGGCTGAATTCATCTCTGATTTTTTATACGCTCAGGATCTTGCATCGTGGATTGAAGGCTCAGGTGACGCGGGCACCATTTACTTCAGCCTGGGATCCATTGTGAAGCCGAAGGACATGCCTGAGAAGTAAGTGCGCGTCTGAGATGATTAGAGACGGTTAAACGGCCGAACGTCTTTGGAAAAAAGAGCTGAGTGCATTTTAAATTGCAAATCATATCATACTACGTATATTCTTAACACTAGTCTGATTGGTGAAAATTTTCTCATTACAGACTTTTTTCAACGAATGCGTCATTCTAAGTCAACTTTCATTAGCTTCTGTCACTTGTTTCATTATAACTCGTTTTAGTTCGCTCCTTCTCAGCATGTAAGATAATTTTTATTGTTTCATTAGACTTCTGAAGAGGAAAAAAATGCTAGACGAAATAGAGCCTGTAAAACTAATATGAGTATGATGTTGGTTAGAATTAACCGTAATCACAATTGGCAAATTAAAGCCTCAATTTGTTTCAATAAGGGTAGGATGTGTTGCATCTCTACAGATTTTTCCCTAATAATTTCGTTCAAAATAAATGACATTCTATCTTTATTTCATGTTAACTAACCAAGACGATGTCTTTAGTTTCCGTGAGGTGTTTGTGAAGGTTTTCTCGACTCTTCCCCAACGCGTGATATGGAAATGGGACGAGGCGTCGATGCCAGGCCTGCCCCCCAACGTCAAGCTGGCCAAGTGGCTCCCGCAGCAGGATATCCTGGGTGTGGGGGACTCTTAAGGGGGGGGGCATACCCTAAAATTTTCGGATTTGGCTTTTCCAGTGTTTAGTCTTATCTTAAAGCTGACATTCTGCCCTACCCAACGGTACCATTGCCATCTCTGCACGTTGATTTATGCTTTCACGACAGATCATGAAAGGGGGGTGGGCGGGGGAGTTCTTTAACAAATTAGATTGGAACTAATTCGCTGCCAGCACTATAAATACAGAGTATGCTTGAGGTGCAGCTCACTAACCCGCCTGGCGCTGTATAAGGAGGTGCGCATGTAGTCGCTCCCACCATCCTTGAGAGGAATCAAGCTCCAGAAACGTTTAGTTTCGTATCCTTGCTAAATTGAGTGCCTATTGCGATGCGGGCGGGACTTTGTCGCGCTCTCCTGAACATTCACAGTTATTGTTATGGAACACCCATCTCCTCCTAGAGTTTTAAAGCTACTGCGATGAGACATATACCATTCGATTCGAAAAGACCATACCTATCGAGTAACGAAGCCCTTTTTTAGATTTGCGCATAGTTTGGATTAAAAATGGGGGGAAGGGGGGAAAATTTGAAGAAAATGAGAAGAAAACGGAAAAATGCGTTTAAAAAAATAACTAAGGCGAAAATAAAAAATTGGGCTTTGTTACTCGATTGGTATGGTCTCTACGCATCGAATGATATGCGTCTCAATAATGTAGCTTGAAAACCCTAGGAGGAACTAGATTTCTACATTACCCCATTTTTGTCCGTTTTCTATGAATTTCTCGTTTTCTATTAATTTTTCCGAAAAAATCATACGAACAAAATGTTCTTGTGTTCGGGTTTTACATATATGTGTGAAGTTTCAGAAAGTCTGTTAGTAAATGTGGAAGTTTTTCTGGAGGGTATGCCTCCCCCCTTAAGACATTGTCCGGCATGGCATATACAAGAATTTCAATGGCAATGAATAGCCTAGAAAAAATATGTAATTCGGTTGTCAAACGTTCCCTGAAAAAAAAAAAATTTGCAACTTTGCGGCATTTTTGAAATGCACAGAATTTGTATCCACACTCCAAGAGAATAATATTTGATGAAAGAATGCTTAGCACTCAATATACTGGAATTCACATCGTTTGGTGAATTTCATGAACGTGGTAACATATCACTCGATGTCACTCGTACGATATTGATCCTTGAATGCATACGTAAGAATGTACTCGATGCTTTTTGATATATGTTTTATAAGAAATCATTCACATTTCTAGTCAACCAATCAGGTAATTCATCACTTTTTAACATTCTTGGATTAATAACTCGATACTAAGGGAAGAATATGTTCATCGAAAACTGTTCCTATAACAATCCTTCTTTAGTGATGTTGAAACCATCATATATAATCATAAAATTTGCTATACACCGCCCTCAAATGTTAGTTTTGGTGACTCATAGATGATGCAAAAACGTGTTTTTATTCACAAAAATATGAAACCACGTAATTTGAAATATTGATTTGTTCATATCCCTGATTCGTTGCGAGACACCGCGTTATTAATTACGAAAAATTTTTTAAATTACAGTTTGCCAATCACTTTCTAGTAAACTTAGGAGCTATTATTTTTATTCCACCTTCTAGCTTTTTGAATATGTAGCCTGCTTTTTATTCAAAAATGAAAAATCATATTTCTCATTTTCACAATGTACATCACTCTCAGCAGTAGATGATAAGCCCAATATTTCTTCCTTTCTACATAATTCAGGGCTTCTTTTTTATGAACAGATAAATATTTTTACAATCTGCAACAACTGCAGCCTATATCAAGGTACTCATTATCTGCCCTATTCATTAAATATAACAAGTTTGTCGTCATCGCAGGTCACCCCAAGGTGCATTTGTTCATCACCCACGGCGGGCTGTTCAGCACGCTGGAGGCTATTTACCACGTTGTTCCCATCCTCGGCTTCCCTGTGTTCGCCGACCAAGGCAGTAACATGATCAAGTCTACAGCCGATGGCATTGCCGAGACCATCGAATGGGACGATCTTACGGAGGATTTGCTAAATCATACAATACACAAAATGTTGACCGACCTGAAGTGAGTCGCCACTAATGTCCTGTTAACCAGTGAGGAGATAATTAATTTATTATCTACTCTTAAACCCTTGGCTTTGATTGAAGGGTCCGAGTTTACGACTATGTTAGTAATCGTCTTATTGGACTTGTAGTCATATGCGTTGTTGGATGAAACAATCGGATATTGGATTTAGCGTAAAATTTTCTTGGGATTCCATGTTAGCCATTTTCTTAGCATAATTAACAAAAAATGTTTGTGTTATGTGCTGAATTACACGACATAGTAACGTCAACACTGAATGCTTGTCAACAAAGTAACGCTGAATGCTTCCCTAAGATATCAGAAGACTGTCAATCATCGCTCGCAACTGATGCGGGACCAGCCGATGTCTCCCCGAGATGTTGTGGTTTACTGGACCGAGTACGCCATCCGCCACAAGGGGGCGCCACATCTGCAGTCCCCTGTCAAGGGAATGGCATGGTGAGTGCTTCGTATTCGACTGTTTACGCCCGCTACATATACAGTCTGGCAATGAAATTAATTCTTTCTATTCATTTTAATTTAACAGCTTGAGCTTGACTTATTCCCACTTGGTTGTTCAATCTTATTCACAAACATTTATATTGAGACGTCAAAATTTACTCTCAGCAATGTGATCGAATTCGTCCCTCTTATTATGTTTTCCATCCTTTATGTATGATCGAAATGATCATCGTTCCATCTTATACGTCATTCCTCAATTTATTTGTACACTCAGATATCCACTTTCTCTACGTTAATTGCCTTAGTGCATATCAGATAGAATAATATGCGTTTGAAAATTACTTTTTAAAGACAACTCTTCTAAAGAGGCCAATGTCTCCGATGTTTCATATATACAATGAATTTCTAATTTTATTTTCAAAACTTAAAAATTTATTTTAAATTTGTTTAACACTAAAAATGAATTTAAAGTTTTCAAAGTTAATTTTTCTGTCAATTGATTCAAGCATTGTCCCCGACTTTACGCAAGTGCATGGCAAAATTTCAGATCGATTGGATAATTAGGAGTCTGTTAAATATTGATTAAAAGATTTGTAGCAGACAAACAACAAGAAGTGAAGTTAAAGAGAAGTGTTATAAAATAGAGAGGCATTTCATTTGAATAAAGTGTTCTATTCAACGCAAATTGTGCAAAAACATTTCAAACTTTATAAATTTCGCATCGGTCTCATTCCGCAGGTACCAGATCTACAACGTCGACGTCTGGCTGTCCTTGATTGTGATCTCAATCGCGTGTCTCTATTTGGACATAAAAATAATAATTGCTCTGGTGAGACGATGCTGTTATAGGACCAAGACCACCGGTGAGCTCAAGAAGAAAAAAGAGTAGCCTGTGGTTAACTTGGTAATGGAAAAAGGTTACTGAGCCAAATGTAAAACTGAAAATATTTCTGTACCTAGAGCAAGCATAAGAAGTATCAAGAATATTTTGAAAATGTAATGAAATTTCAACAAAATGTAACATGAATTACGAATGCAATTTAAATGGCAACATCTACTTCAAAATTTCATATTATACTGTTTTGAGACGCTTTGAGAAGAACAGACCTATTGAGAGCAGACCTATTCTCCTCTTTGAGTTCCGTACTCAGTTCAGCATTCATCTTGGCTCCTGGAATTCAAATAGTATCAAATAAGAGTTTTAAACAATTACTCAAGCTGCGAGAAAATTTTTTACCCAAAATATTGTTTACAAATCATTTTTATTTCGTAAAAAATTAACTAGATAAAACCTACTTTGATTTTGTCAATGCTTCGAGATAAATCAGGACTTTTGTCAGAGAATGCGAGCTGTGATGTAGGTTTTTTATATCACAGGTGTCACTAAGAGAGGTAACCTATTTGCTCTAGCTTGATTTTAGCATAGATGTGTTCACTGAGACAAACAATAAAACAGGCTCAGATCATGGCGTATTTAGTAAAAATTCGCTTATAACCAAAACTATCATGTAAACGTTGTGTGTTTTTTTTCGCCGTTTTTATAAAAGATGGAATGGTTAAATTATGACCTTGGGATGCAAAGAGGCACGTTACTATTTATTAATTTTTCTACATTCTTTTTGTATCCATTTTTTGCACTCGTTCTATTTGGAAACAAAAAATTCTAGCAACGCATGCCGTAGCCTAGTAAGAAAATAAGTGTATGTTTTCAATTACAAGTCAGAGGAATGAAAATAGCGTTACATTTACTCTGGGTCATTTATACATGAACATGCGAAGATGTGATAACACTACATTCCGCCTGTCCAATTAGTTCTAAAATTAAGTTGAGATAATTCTGGGCGTCGTTCGTTTTACGACCTCAATTTTGGGAGTCGTACTGCGAGCTCAAATCGGGCATTTTATTTTATCAAAATATATCCTAATATTTGCAAATCTTGTAAGCAGAAAAAGAATTAATCTTGTACCCCATTCAACAAAAGCTCCATTCAAAAATAAGCAAGTAGTCCTTGGCTAGTAAATATATTGATATACACTCGAGAACGGATAAAAAAAAACAAGCTAACATAAAAAATTTGAGCAAGATGGAACCGTTGCTTCTTAGGTTATTATTATTTTTTATGATAGACTAGTCGCTTCGTTACAAAAACCTGCTAATAATGTCGACATAATCGAAGTGTCTAATGTCCATGATGCCTCGCAATATTTCACAATGATGATGGCGGTAGTGACGGTGCAGTGAATGGGGAAGAGTGGTAAAGAAGATACAAGAGGTGTCATAGAGTGGTCAGAAAGGGGGAAGAGAAAATTTGAAGTCAGGTACCAATGAAAAGTGTTACTTCACAGGCCACACCGAGACAAGAGTGTTTGTATGTATGTTGATAATTCCAACAATATTCCATATTGATGAAACGTGGAAAGAATTTAATAGGCGTACCCAACCGGTTTTTAGGCTTAAATTTAGAATTTATTCCTCAATTAGATGTGATTTCTATCTGTATCTCTGATGGAGAATATGATTTTTGCTGATATTGTCCCGGAACTGGAATTGAAATTATACTTTCAGAATATTTTACCTATAATTGACCTAATTTTACATAGATTGCACAATTTCTTTCAAAAAATATGTTGTAGCTAGAGAAGCGTTTAGTCCCTCTATTTTAAAAATGTCGATATTTTTTTAAACAATATCAGTTTTAACATTAATATTTAAACAATATTGGTGCCTCTATTTTAAAAAGTCGATATTTTTTTAAACAACAAAGCATATTTTCTTCGCTAAACGCATACATAATTGAACTGTTAGCTGCATATATGTAGATTAAGTCACAAATTAAAATCAAGTCGTGATTTTGCAGTAATGTAAAGCTTCTGAAATTTAGTTTTAAGAAATCAATCTCAATGAATATAAAATTGTCAAAAATGCATGAAACATACACCAAGCAGATGAAGCTGACGACACTGTGGTCACCGACGTCCTTTTTGATGGTTGTGGAAGTGCTAGAATAAACTTGGAAAAACTGTACGTGCTGAGAAGATAATACGGTTTAGATCGCAAATATATCCGAAGATATAAGATATACGTAAATAATAAGTGGTAGACAATTTATTTCAATGGAAAAGTACCCTGGAATGGAATTCTTTACAGTAGCACATTTTCCATCCAGATCAACTGGTACTTCTTATTCACGTTGACCGCAGGATCAGAAATTTGTAAGAAGTTTTAGATATAAATCGAACTTCACGCACTGCCTTTTATCTCCATTTTATATTGATTCTAATACATTTTCATTTCCAACCCCTCCTAGCCTGGACAGTTTTAGGGTTATACCTATCAGCCAATGTCTTCAATAGTACAAATGTCATTGTATTTCAACATAGTAAAGTTAGGGACAGGTTTGCCTGAAAGTTCCGACATACATTTTTGGTAACATAATCGCTTTTCAAATATCGTTGCATGTTATTATTTTTATTTAAAATTAGAAAAATTCAAATCAGTGAGACATGGTTGCGGTCAAGGTCAAATTGCATTTTTTAATTGGAAATAATTTACTTTCCCAAAGTTTTTCTCATGAACCTCTTCTTAAAAATTCAATGTGTGGTTTGAAGCAAAGCAGGAAAATTTATTTTATTATTTGCATTTAGCACACAGGGAGCATATGCATTCATAATTGTAGAGTTAGTAATAATTATTATTGTAATGAGCCTTCCTACGCATGCAATGCATGGTGCGCTTGCTTGATTTAGAGTTATACAGGGTGGGTCAGAACCGCTTGAAGATTTTAGAGCAGTCAGTGCTCGCAGGGAACCATGGGCCGGGATGTGCATGCGGCTGGTTTTTTCCAGCCCCTCCGGTATTCTCATTTCAGTAGCCAACATGGTGTGGTCAGGAGAACATCGTGGACTTTGCTGTGCGCGCAAATTTCGAGAACAATCAATCCGTGATTGCAACGCATAAAGCTTTTCGGCGGCGGTTCAATATTCCACGCAATGATGCTCCTCCTCAGGCGAACACAATTCGGTCCTGGGTTAGGCAGTTGGTGGCAACTGGTAGCACACTAAGAAGAGATACACATGGCCGACGCAGGTCCATCAGAACACCAGAAAATGTCGAGAGGGTGAGAGCAGCAGTCATCCACTCGCTAAGACGTTCTGCACAAAGGCATGCCGTTGCTTTGGGAAACTCCTCACGTAGTTTGAGGAGGATTCTGCATAGAAATTTGCATTTCTATCCTTACAAAGTTATGATGGCCCAACAATTGAACGAAGCAGACTTTGCCAGCCGCCGAAAACTGTATGAGAACATGTTTGAACAGATTGCTCTCAACGCAGCGTTCTTCAGCAGCGAAGAGACGCTTTTCACCTCTGTACGACTGTAAATAAACAAAAATTCGTTGCTTGGCTGAAGATAACCCACAAATTATCCATCAAAGACCACTAAATTCTCCCAAACTAACGGTCTGGTGTGCCATCTCACAATTTGGCGTGATAGGCCCATACTTCTTTGAGGAGGGAGGGAGTAACCGCGCGCCGTGACAGTGAATTCCGAACACTATGCTGCAATGTTACAAAATTTTTTGCAGCCCAGGATGGAAAAAATTGTTGAAAATGAAGCATTGGGAGATGTGTGGTTCCAGCAGGATGGGGCTACAGCTCACACAGCCCGAATGCCACTCAATGTTTTGAGACGCACGTCTTCGGGACGTCTGGTGTCTCTGAGGGGTGATTTGCAGTGGTCCCTGCGATCAGGTGCCCTGCGAGGTCACCTGATTTGAACATTTGCGATTTCTTTCTTTGGGGCATCTACAAGAAAAGGTGTTCAGAAGTCGCCCTCACACCTTACCACAGGTAGGGGAACGGATTCTTGCAGAGGTTATGGCCATACCTCGCCATATGTGTGAACGTGCTGTAAAGGAAACTTCCGAGAACGACTCCAACAGCGTGTTGCAGCAAACGGCCACCATCTTCCTGATATTATTTTCAAAACAAAAGTATTCTAAATGGTATGTTATGCTAACGTCGATGAAAATAAACTTTTTTCTTTATGTACCTCCATTACTCTTTTATTTCGCCTCATAACTGCTCAATCGGTTCCGTCCCACCCGATTCTTTCGTTCAGGTCAATCAAGGAAAAAAACCGTAAGCAAGCATATGGCTTTTATGTACCCTTTTGATAACGCATGTTATCTGATTAGACCTTGCCATTATCTCTGATAAAGACCATCATCATTAACGAATATCCAGTCTCTCCTTCCACAAAACACATTCACGGTGCACAGGCATTGCTTGGGCTTACGTTGAGCTAAGAAAAGTGTGATTTTTACTGTCCACTTCAGTGAAATCGATCGAAAATAATGTTAGTCAACGTGAGCCAAAATAATAGCTTGCATTGCTGTTATATAATAACGATATGTGCAAATAGTGCGTTATGACCAAATAATTCCTAAGCAATACGACCTCTACTGTAAAAATTTCTTGCCGGCTTAACAGTTTACCTTCGAGAGTTTTTTATGTTGCGAGTTTGTCAAGTGTTGAAGTCTACTGTTATAGCTAAGTAAATAGTCTAAAGCAATGAATTTACCCATGCAAGATCACCAATTTAGTGAGTAGTCAATTTATTCCATTTGCAGGCTTCAGTTTCCGATTCTTGCACAAAAATACATGAAAGAAATCTTGTTAGAAAAAATATGAAATTGACCTTGGGTATCTATGATTGGGTCGAGAAAACTACATGTTTAATTAAAACGTCTAATTAAATCAAATTAACGTTAAATGAACAAATGATGTTCTCTAAGAAATCGTTTTAAACTTTCAAGATTTTTGGAAATGTCGTGGTGGTAAAATTGTCCAGCATGCCTTGAAATTATTTTGGAAAAGATTGCATTTCTGAGCAGTAACTTCCATTATTATTTTGATAGCTAATATAATGGGAAGAGAATTCACCGTTATACTGTTAATAAGTTTTCTCTGCAGGCTAGTTAAATTTTAAATTCAAACGATCATTATTAAAGGAGTAAACAATCCGGACGACGATACACGTGCAAAAGTTAATAACAAAAAATAAAGAAAATAGACCTATTTGCGTTATACAAACTATACAAAGATTCTAAATGTGACGACGGAAGCACCCAATACGAAATTTCTATAGGTCACCTGGTTCTAGCAATATTCATGGCGAGTTTGCGCGTTGCTGCACGAGTTGGATGCGAAAGTAGTCTGGAGGCGGTTAACTGCATTCTTGATGCTCGGCTTCTCAATATATCAATATAATAGCCAATATAATTAAACAGCTAAGCCACTCTATTGCAGAAGCAAAAGAAGATCGACTTATTCTGAAGCGCACAACCCAGAGCTGAATTTAAAAGTTTGAAACCATCGCATATAAATAAGAAGTCGTCTAGCTGGTTCACCTTTCTACCCATTTTCAAAACCGAAGTTAAAATCATTGGCAAACATAGATTTTATGTGAATGATGAAATTTCGAAAATATTTCGTGAATAAAAGTTTCAAATCTTTGAACATTATTGAACAGGAGCAGAGAGTTGAGGGTTCGAAACCAGCAATTAAATTGGAGAAAATTCTGATCGAAATCACCATGCACGAGATGCTGAATGGCTGAGATTTGACGACACACCAAAATTGATGAATCAAAGTTGACACTGCATTATTATTATACATTATTATTCGACAACAAATCAAGTCTGAAATTCTGTTAATCGTAAAGAGTGAAACCGGCTTGAATCGAAATATTAAATCGAAATCAGATTTCTGAATTTTTTGCGAGGTTGTACAAAATACCAAAACATTGACAGGAGCAGAATGAGTTTTAAGTAAGACGGCGAAGTCATCTTCACGTTTGGCTAGAATTTGTAAAATTTCAGTTACATTGCCAAGTAATTTTGAAGATTGGATTTGATATCTCAATAATTGATAGAATATATATCGGCCTGTAATGATTCTAGGTTGATTTTTGGCCGATGTTGGTTCAACGAAATGTAATATGTAATTTTAATTCCCTAAATCGGTTATACTGATACATTCTCTTGAATTTTGAACTGAAGATAGAGGTGGCCGAGGGAACGACATCATTGATGATATTATTATTTCTCCAGCTTTTTTCGTAATAAATTCCTAGTCAATTTACAATCTTACTCTCACTGCTTTCAGCGTTTAAGTTAATTTCTTAAAGTCATCATCTGTGCGATTTCTTGATAAAACTTCAATGAAATAAAAATTAGGAATCAATTTCGATTACAAATGACAGTTCAAGTCTACGACAGAAATAACGGCGAATATTTGATCACGGTTTATATTCAAGTAGCAAATACAGAACTGCATCACGAGAGATCCTTCGAACTGCTCATCAAAATAGCAACGCCATTTGATTGTTTCCGGTAAACAAAGTAGCTTGTCAGATATTTTTTTACTCAGGTAGAGGAACGCATTATATATTTCATTATAATATTGATTTGCTTTCAAATCCAGAGTGCGAAGGCTCATTTGCATTATACTCGTGGATTCGAATAGCACCGTTAGCTCCACGGTAAATAATAAGTTTAATTAGTTTAGCACAGATGCAGGTTTGTAAGGTACAGTTGGTGGCGCTGCTGCTACTGAGCTGCGGCAGCATGAACAGTCATGGCAGCAAGATCCTCGTCATCGCGCCGCTTTCAGGCAAAAGCCACTGGCAATTTTTTGGCGAGATCATCAAGACCCTCGCTGACCATGGACATCATGTGAGTCTTATAAAATGTTATTAGGTGTATAACAGTGCAATAAGTAATAAGTATTACCAGAGGTCCAGAGCAAACATGACGTTGGCACTTGACATTGCATTGTACAAAGCTAACTCCCAAAAGAACAGCATGCCGGAACCTTATTTGGCTTGACGAACACAAATTTCATAAACAAAATAGTACATTCTATCTTAAAATAATAAATTTATCTGCCTACCCAGTCAATCAGGTATTGATCGATCGACGGAGATTGATGTGGTTCGATCAAGAACCACATCAATCGCGGGGCAATGTCGCGGGGCGCACCACCGATTAAAGAGGGGCATTCTATGCCGATTCAGTACAGATCTTCAAAGTTTCTGCACCCGATAATTTGTTGAGTCGAAAGATCTGCATCGAACGATGTTGTATCTACACTAGCTGAAGTCGAATCTGCATTAATCGATGTCGATTCATCATTGATCTACGACGAATCTACATTAATCGATGTCTAATCCATATTAATTGACAAATGCCCGGCAGTCGAGTTTGACCGTTTGTCGACTACGCGAAAACAAATTTAAACGACGCGACTCTCTCTCTCTTCGAGATCATCGACATGTTACTGTTTACTATGACATGTCAGATCAGGTCAAATGTTCGCTGTCGAACATTTGTATCGTGTATGCACTTGCGATATCAATTACAATCTAACAAATTCAATTAGTAATAATGCAGAGAAGTCACAAGTAATTAACCGCTAAGTTCTCTTACCGGATAAACGTCGACGGCAGCTTCGACATTCGAACGCTGGAATTTCGCGTCCGAGTTAAGCCTCAGCCCACTTGACCACCATGGCACCTTACTACAGCGAGCTCTATCAACTACATGCTGTAACTACGAAACGAATAGCTTGCTATCGTCAGGTAAATCGAGGAAAAACCGCATTTGTGGTGGAACTGTTTAGAGATTATTATTTATATTTATTTTAGAGGAATGAACGCAGTTTCTATTCATTTGAAAAAATATTACCCGTATTGTAAAGGAGACAGACAAGCACTGTTTCTCTTGCCACTTTTTATTATTTTCAGGCAATCGAAATGCCGTTACTTCCATATTTCCTCAATTTATTTACAAGTTGGTTCTCTAGTTTATATAAATTTCATAATGGAGCTGATCAATTTACATCAAAATTTATTTCTCATTAGTTCTATTACCTCAAATCAGCCTCGTTGAAAAATTGAAGCAAATTTGAAATGATTAATGGAACACGCTACAACAGCTGTATGAAAATGTTTTGAATATGAACTATGAAGAAGTTTATGATGGGATTTTTTTAAATAAAAATATTGTTAAGCTTTGAAGCAGTTTGTTCGTACGACTTTTAGTCGATAGCAGGAGATTTATATCATGCATGTAAAAACATTTTCTTTACACTCACGTTAGAAAAAAAAATTTTAGGCAAACTAATCGATATATCCTGAACATTATTAAGGAAATGTAACATTAAGGCTTAAACGTTCCTCTTTGCGGAAACGTTTAAACTGGGAAAGCTAGTAAAACACTTACGTCCGTATTTCAAAGTATTAAAGTAATTACGTGGTATAATAATCGTAACTGGCATCAGAAATGGACGCGAAATAGCGCATTCTTTCGCTTGAACTAGATTGAACACAGTTTTGTACACAATTTTAACTGGGCAATCATAAATTAAAGTGCATATCAATTTCCGATTCATCATTCTATTAGATTGAATTGCCAACCGACATGTTTGCGCATGAATTTTTCGGTTTGCTCTGTAATGTTGCCCACACTCAGATACTTCGATCTGCAACGCTAAACCCACAGTCGATAGTTCGCCATGCACCTGTATAGATTATTCAGGGAAATTCGACTTCCAAATCTTCGAGTGGTCGGATCTTCCGCGATATGCAGTAACCCACACTAATCGACATCGCTGCCCACATTGGTGATTGACTGGGTACTTTATGTCATTCCACTCAGGGGGTGGTTACAATCGTGTTTCTATAAATATTGCTTTTTATTGATTTAGTTGTACTCTCCCTAACTTCCTCAGAAAACGTTTTGTGATGTGCAATTATTTCACATTCAGTCGGATCTCAGGCCGTGACCAGGAAGTTCCCACCAATTTAGCAAATAACTCTTCATTGGCATACATAACTTTCACTTGTGAAGCGTCCCAAGCTCGTCTCTGAATTTTATACTGCTATTTAGGTTTCAATAACTAACCCTCTTTTATAGGGATAGTTATTGAAAACTGGCATAAAAATACCCGTTGCTGCATGTCCCACCTAGATAATGTATTGTCATGACGTCGCGATTGTCAATTCAGAACAGGAGAGATTTCGGGTAATCGTGCTATCCTGAATTTACTGAAAACGAGGTTCGTAAGGTTCTTGTGAAAATTTTGTTTCATTCAATAAAGCGCAAGCTAAGCACAAACTAAGTAAACAAAAGATTTAGTCTACGAAAGAAGAGTTTATTTCACGACTCCTGGAGGGGCAGGATGACATCCTTCTTGAATCCCCTAAACCTAGAGGCTAACTTGTGCTCAACCACTATCACAAACCCTAATAAATTACTTCACTCACTTATCACGAATAACCTAACCTATTGACACCTCATTCATGCTCAATACAAACAAATTATCATGACAATGACGAATGAACATTTTTAGTTTACAATATCTGCCGTTCTCGCCTCCCGAGCAACAAAGATGAAGATCAACAGCTGGCGGGTAGGCGAAGCTCACTAATGGGTTTCTCATGACACGAACGCGTGATACAGGCTGAGCTGGAACGCGTCTATCTCAACACCATTATTTCGCATCCGATATCGTCTGAAATAGAATACACAACCTTGCACCGATGAAGTAAATTTAAATTTTTTTATAAAAAGTATTAATATGCACTAAAACTGTGAATTTTTCAGATAACGTCACTGACATCGATGCCGATGATCCGCCACGACAACGTCACAGAAACAGACATCGAGTTTGACAGAAGCCCTCTCATCCCGAACACATTCGAGAATCGCGGTTGGTGGGTGGGCATTAGCATGATGAATAAGATGCCCGGAATGTGTGCAGAAGCGTTGTCGATTAAGAAAGTGCACGATATTAAAATCCAAGAATACGACCTGGTATTCATCGGCAGCTTTGTCAATGACTGCTTCTTTGGGCTTTTGGATGGCATTGAGGTAAGCGTGGGTTAAGTTATGTCTATAGCATTGGTGAAATTTTCAGATCAGAGATAATTATTTTGCCCCATTTTATATTTGTTATTCTCAGATTCGGACTGAATATTTAGAATCGGAAAGACACACAGTATTGGTGATATTCTTCTTATTCCAGTCTATGAACATAAAATTTTATGAAAATTGGTGAATAAACAACTGCCAACAATGAATGGTCTTGATTATCGTTGTCATCTAGTATAGCCATCGACTTTGGGCTTTGATATAAGTCTAGATCATGCTTGTATTGAGATTCCGAGGAATTTAAAACAGGAATTGAGGAATTTGAAACAGAATATTGAGGAATTTAAAACAGCCACCCGTCAAGATAAGACAGCCTCCCCTCAAGATAAAATGAATGAAGTGATTGTATCTCTTCTCAGTTCGTGCAACATGATATTCCACAGTAGGCTGCAATTTCAACAGACAGTATTTTCTTTGTTGATGACTTTAATTTTGGTCCAGCTGAGATGACTAGACGTGAAGGCTGATAGAGCACAGAAAGCGATGACGGCACTTACCATACCAAGGAATTCCGCATACACTTCAGCTTGACTCGAGCTGAGACTATTTTGCCATTTAAACTAAATCAAATAAATAAATATCATGATGCAATGTGGCTAGAATATCAGTGATGCCGGATGCGCGACCTGTGCTAGAACTAACAATGAAAATTAGTGTATTTGTGAAAAAGATTGTTATATTTGTGGTTTGTACATATATTTTTCAGGTCCATTGGCAGGTGGGGGGTTTATCCCACCACGAGGTAATTACAACTTTCCTCTGTTGAATTTTTTAACTAGTAGTTAGTGTGAGGAATTCATACTTAATTCATTCACATTCATTTTTTTGAGTTTTGTCAATTCGCAGGTTCCAGTGATAATCATGAACCCGAACGCACTCTTCACCTACTTCCATGACATCGTGGGAAATGTAGATTTTCCTTCTTTCGTACCCGTGATAGGACTGCCCATGAAGTATCCTATGACGTTCACACAGCGCCTCCTTAATACCCTTGCCAATTTCTTCAGCTCCGCACTCATCAATTTCTATTACCATCCAAGGTGGGTGCCGACAGCTCATTCGCTATTCGAAAAAGATGATTTTTTATTTAACAAAGTTTTAATTTTTTCAGCCTTCAATTTTTAAAGTAGTTCCGCTGGGCAGCTGCAAACTGATGACGACATGATTCCCGTTTTTATGGACTTAAGGTTTTCTACCGTATGTACGTTAAGCTGCTAGTGGTAGTTTCTGGAGAGCCGAAATGAAGTAAATTGAGGCAATTTTTATGTTTTAAAAATAAAAACTTACTTGGGGCTGAGGCAAGGTCAATGGCTGGTCGCGATGACTGCGGGGAACTAGAGTATTGCATTTTGAAGTCAGGAATTTTGTGAGAAGAAGTCAGTATTACATAAGGGATGTAGTAATTCAGTTGCCCGCAATGCCATTTTCTGGGCTCTCGTGTTAAAAGATGGAATTATTAGTGGAAGATTTCCTTTGAAACAACAAGAGCAACAAGCCAGCATTAATTTCATTCTTGATTTTATATTTTTCAAGTTGATAGTATGCCTGAACGGTGTCAGTAATCTTCATGCTAAAGCTCTTTGTAAAAATTACAAGTACCCGCAATGATAAATTGAAGCAAAAAAAAAACATAAGAAATCTCATTAAGATGGTGTTGTTTCCTAATCAGTGTTGAAAAAGCATGCAAAGATGCTGGTCTGTGCCCGCGCGACATGCGATCTATTCATGACATCGCTGCAAAATCTGCATTCATTTTCATCAACAAGTAAGTGTCAATGACGGCAATCAGTGCAGACTTGAAATTTAGTTATGATTCTCAAATTATATTTTTTTCCATACTAGATGTAGATTAGAGAATGATACGATAATTTTCGTATTCAACTCTCACTTTTGTGGTACACTCCCGAAGAGATTCGTGCATGTAGAGTTCACAACCTACATTGCTTGCTTTCCCATTACATGGGTTTTTAAAACTTCCTACCTATGTTAAACACGAATTTAAGCGTTCTGTGCCAGTTAAAAATTTAAAGGTTGGAGGAACTTCTTCTTTCAACAATCCCTCGTGTTCTTTCAACAATCCCAGCGTGCAGGCCCTGGAGACGCCAGTGCGGCCCTACGTGCCGGCCGTGATCCACGCGGGGGGCCTCAACTGCCGGCCCGCCCAGCCGCTGCCGGAGGTGAGCCGCAACATGCGGGACGTGGGTTTATCAGGGCATGGCGCACACCAAGCAGATACCAATTAGGTATCAAAGATAGAGCAATATTAGAAAATCTACAATTTTCCGGAAAATCCCCCAAATAATTGATGAAATCACAAAACATTCTATATCGAGTATAAATATCAATAATTAGGCATCAAGAAATATCAATTTATTAATAATTTTGTTAAAACTTCTGCGACAAATATTGTGTGAAAATGTTGTGAAAATAATGTGGACGATGCCAGAGTGTAAAGGGATTTTTTTGTCTTCAATTTTTTATATGTTTGAGATAATTAAATTGAAAATAAAAGAATTTGGGCTGAATTCATCTCTGATTTTTATACGCTCAGGATCTTGCATCGTGGATTGAAGGCTCGGGTGACGCGGGCACTATTTACTTCAGCCTGGGATCCATTGTGAAGCCGAAGGACATGCCTGAGAAGTAAGTGCGCGTCTGAGATGAAATGAGACGGCTAAACGGCCGAACGTCTTTGGAAAAAAGAGCTGAGTGCATTTTAAATTGCAAATCATATCATACTACGTATATTCTTAACACTAGTCTGATTTATGAAAATTTTCTCATTACAGACTTTTTTCAACGAATGCGTCATTCTAAGTCAACTTTCATTAGCTTCTGTCACTTGTTTCATTATAACTCGTTTTAGTTCGCTCCTTCTCAGCATGTAAGATAATTTTTATTGTTTCATTAGACTTCTGAAGAGGAAAAAAATGCTAGACGAAATAGAGCCTGTAAAACTAATATGAGTATGATGTTCAATCGCGTGTCTCTATTTGGACATGAAAATAATAATTGCTCTGGTGAGACGATGCTGTTATAGGACGAAGACCACCGGTGAGCTCGAGAAGAAAAAACAGTAGCCTGTGATTAATAAGGCCAATAGAAAGAGGTTACTAAGCCAAATGTAAGACTGAAAAGACTTCTGTACCTAGAGCAAGCATTATAAAAAATGTCAAGAATCATAAATATCTGATGAAACCTCAACAAAACGTAATAAGAGCTACGAAAGCAATTTAAATGACTATATCTACATAAAAAAATGAACAGACCTATCGAAGGCAGATCTGTTCTCATTTTTTAGTTCCGTACGGAGTTCAGTATTCAACTGGGCTCCTGGAATTCAAATAGTATCAAATGAGAGTTTTCGCAGTTACCCAAGCTGCGTGTGCTCATTGAAACTGGGGCAATTTCTTATTTAAAATATTATGTACAAAGCATGTGTATTGTAAAAAACTACTATATAGAACATACTTTTGTTTCGCAATGCTTCCAGATGAATCAGGACTTCTGTCTGAGAATGCGAGCGGCGATGTAGGCAAAGGTGGACAGTAGCGCGCTATATTTAAGTAGCGATACGAGGTTTTGCCGCTACAGCGCTACTACATTTATAGATGAAGCGTTTAGATTTTACTTGATAGTATTATATATTATTTAAAAACCATAATGATACATACATAATATAAATTACAGAATAAAACTGTACGAAAGATTTCGGTGTAATGTTGGCTACCTCAGCCTGTTACTAGTGTCAACATGTTAGTTGGTACTTGTTAAATTGCTACCAGTTACCACTTACAGGTATTTTTTCTTGTTTCAGTTTGCTTACAGTTATTTTTATGTTTCACCTTCCCTACATGGATGTATGCTTTAATCTACCAATCTCAAAAATAATCCACATATATATAAATACAAATAAAAGACTGATTTTTTATATGTATATGTGGATAATTTTTGAGATTGGTAGATTAAAGTAGGCATCCATGTAGGGAAGGTAAAACATAAAAATAATTGTAACTTTTAGTCACTGTATCTAACCCGTACTAGTTCGGTTAGGTTAATTGCAATAAAGTTGCATTGATATGTTTTGAAAATGTTTTATTATCATTAAATGTTTATGAGTAAATCCCAATAGCAGAACAATAAATATTTGGAGATTTCCAATAATTTTGGCCATTGTAGCGGCTAATGTAGCGGCGCTACATTTTACTGTAGCGGTAGCGGTAACGCTCGCTGCAATCTAGTAGGTGTAGCGGTAGCGGTAGCGGTAGCGCCCGCTTTATTTAGAGCATGTAGCAGTAGCGGCCGCTACATTTCAAAGTAGCTCTGCCCAGCTCTGGATGTAGGTTTTTTATAGCATAGATGTCAATAAGAGAAGTACGTGGGAGAATTTACCTACTCGCTTTATCTTAATTCTAGCATAGATGTATTCACTGAGACACACACAATAAACTTTTTTTCGCGTTGTAAGACTTTTTCGCCTTTTTTCTTCGTTGTAAGATTTTTTCGCCTTTCATAATTGAACGGCTATAGAATAGTATAGAAGTGTCGGCTCTGAAGAAATGGGCCCATGGCCTGTTGCCGATTCTTGTACTTTTTGCAACTTGATTCCAAAGGATCCGGCCTTTGGAACCCGATCTCTCTATAGCTAGCGATTGTTTGAGATACCTGCTGGACTTATTGCCAGGTTTGTAAGGTGCTAGGCATTTCAAGGCTATCCACTTTTCATACTCGTTTATTTTACTTAAGAACGAAAAAAATTAGCTACGCCTGCCGTTGCGTAGTAAGAAAAGAAGTGTGTGTGTAAGCAGAAAAAGAATTACTCATGCACTACATTCAGCCAAAACTCCCATCAAAAATAAGGAAGTAGTCCTTAGCTAGTAAATGTATTGATACACTTGAGAAGATATAAAAAAAGAAACAAGCTAACATATACATCAAACTTTATATACACATCAAACTTTGAGCAAGATGCAACAGGTGGTTCGCTGGCTCGTTTTGAATAATCCAGAAAATTTCCTCTTGCCAACAATCTTGGCTGTATTGGTTCGCGGTGGGTTATTATTCCAATATATTATCTTTTATGATAGACTTGTTGCTTCGTTACAAAAACCTGCTAATAATGTCGACATAATCGAAGTGTCCATTGTTCATGATGCCTCGCAGTATTTCATAATGATGATGACGGTAGTGACGGCGCAGTGCCAATATAGGGAAGAGTGGAAAAGAAGGTTCAATTATTGTACCTTCTTTGTACCTTACAAAAGAAGGAACAAATTACAATTTTACCTTACAATTGTACCTTAAAATTGTAGAAGGTACAATTGTCAGAAAGGGGAATGATAAAATAGTGACGGCGTAGAAGAGTGGAAAAGGAGGTAAAAGAGGTGTCATAGAGTAGTAAGGAGGAGGAGAGAGAAAATTGGAAGTCAGGTACCAGAGAAAAGTGTTACTTCACAGGCCACACCGGGACATAAGATTTTTTATGGTGATATTTTCAATCATTTTTCTTATTGAAGAAACGTGAAAAGAATTTTGTAGGCGCACGTAATCGGTTATTAAGCTTGAAATTAGATGTGATTTCTCCGTTAGATGTGATTTCTATCTGTATCTTTGATCGCGAATATGAATTTTGCAGACATTTCCCGGAAGTGAAATTAAAATTATATATTCTCAATATTTTACCTATAATTGATCTAACTGTACATAGATTGCGCAATTTCCCTCAAACAATATTTTGTGCATAGAAAAGTGTTGAGTGCCTCTATTTTATAGCGATAAATTTTTTCGTGCAAAAAAATTTTCTTCGCTATAACCATGCACATACATAATTGAACTGTTAGCTGCAGATATGTAGATTGAGTCATAAATTAAAATCAAGTCATGATTTCGCAATTATAATAAGCTTCTGAAATTTAGTTTTAAGGGCAAGGTATACCCTAAAATTTGCGGATTTGGCTTTTCTGGTATTTAGTATCATCTTGAAGCTAACATTCTGCCCTATCCAATGATACCACTGCGATCCCTGTACGTGAATTTATACGTACATGACGGCTCTTTTAATGGGGCGGGTGGGGGAGTTCCTTCACTAACTAGATACAAGGTAATTAGCTGCTGAGCATTTTAAATATAGTGTCTGATTGAGTTGCGCTTTAGTTACTCGTTTAGTCTCATCTTAAAGCTGACATTCTGTGCTTTCCAACGATACCACTGCGATCCCTGTACGTGAATTTATACGTACACGGCTGCTCTTTAAAAGTTCCTTCAGTAATTAGATGGGAGGAAATTCGCTGACCAACACTAGATATATGGTGTTCTCTGGCATCAAGGCTCAGTCACCCTCCTCGCTTCGTACGGAGAGGTGTACTGCAAGTCGCTGCTACCATCCTTGAGTGGAAGGAAGCTACAGAAGCCTGTAGTTTGGTATCCGTGCTACATTGAGTGCCTATTTCGAGGCGCGCGGGACTTTGTCGCGCTCTCCTGAAAAGTTTACCTTATTGTCACGGAAAAGCCTACTCCTCCTAGAGTTTTGAAGCTACAGCGATGATACATATACCATTCGATTCGTAAAGACCATACCTATCGATTACCGAACCCCTTTTAAAGATTTGTGGATAGTTTGGATTCAAAATGGGGGGGGAAGGGGGGGAAATCTGGAGAAAATGAGAAAAAATGAAAAAAATGGAAAAATGCGTGTAAAAAAATAAGGCAAAAATAAAAAATCGGGCTTCGTTAATCGATTTGTATGGTCTTTACGCATCGAATGATATAAGTTTCAATGTTGTACCTTGAAAACCCTAGTAGGAGAAGGATTTCTACAGGACCCCCTTTTTTGTCCGTTCTCTATGAATGTCACGTTTTCTATCAATTTTTCCAAAAAAATCACATGAACAAAATGTGATTCCTTTGCGGTTTTACATATATGTGTGAAGTTGCAGAAAGATCCATCCGTAAACAAAAAAGTTTTTCCGGACGCGCCACCTCCACCTTAAGAAATCAATCTTAATGAATCTAAAATTTTCTAAAATGCATGAAACATACAGCAGGCAGTTGAAGCTTACGACACTGTGGTCACCGACGTCCTACTTGATTGTTGTGGCTGTGTGAGAATAAACTTGAAAAAAACTGTACCTACTGAGAAGATAATACGGTTTATATCGCAAATATATCCAAAGATATAATATATATGTAAATCTTAAGTGGTAGCAAGACAATATATTTTAATGGAAAAGTACCTTGAAATGAAAATTATTTACGGTAGCAATTCCATTCAGGTAAACTGATAGTACCTACTTCTTATTCACGTGTACCGCAGGAATATTCGAATATTCAGAAATTATTACGAATCTGTATATGAATCAAACTTCAGACACAGATTTTTATTCATTTGATGTTGATTATAATACATTTTCATTTCCAAACCCTCCTTGCCTGGACAGTTTTAGGGTTACACTATCAGTCATTAACTTCAATAGTACAACTGTCATCGTATTTCAAACATATTAGAGTTAGGGACAGGTTTGCTATGAAGGTCCGGCATACATTTTTGGTAATAATTATCGCTTGACAAATGTCGTCATATGTTCTTATCATTATTTTAAAATTAGAAAAAGTCAGGTCAGTGGGACATGATTGCGGTTAAATAA